GTGAACTTGATATACTCTGACTGTGCGTTTAACAATTCGAAGCATTTGACCATTTCCTCTTGTGTTGAGCAAAGGACAAACAGTCGTCTACATACCTACAGTAGAGTAGCGGCCCGAGATCAGTCACCGGTGCTTCCGCCTTAGACATAAATGCAATGGCAAGGCTTGGAGCCAGTCGTTGTCCCATTGCCAACCCTCTTATTTGAGCGTAGTACTTTCCAGACCATCTGAAGATTGAGCAGCCCAAGCATTCTTTTAAGAGTGCCATCAGGTGCTCTATCCTGAAGCCATACATGTTTATTTCTCCTTCGTGTTGTGTAAGGAGTTCGAATATGGCTTGCATTGCGGAGTCATTCGACACGTTTGTATAAAGGGCGGTAACGTCGAAGGACTCCATCACGCACGCGCTGTTGGGCTGCGCAGTACGTAGACGATCCAGAAACATCTGGGTATTCGTAAGATGGGCTGGAATGTGTTTCAACAACTGGTTAAATATTAGGGTTAAAAACCATGTTATCCTGTCCGTTGGCCGGTCTACACAGCTAATGATAGGTCTAACCTTAAATAATGATGGATCGGTAGACGCAAGACCATCGCTGGATACTAACTTATGAGTTTTTATAAGTAAGTACAAGACAGCGCATGTTGGTAAGGCAACTTTAATTTGAGAGATAACTGTTGGTTTCAAAGCAGCAGCCCTTGCCATTTTGGCCCATTCGTGGTTTAGTTTTCGGTATTTACTTTTGAATTTCTCCTCAGATGATGGGCGATAAAGCGAAGCATCTTCAAGATGCTTTTTCGTTATCTCCACATCTAACTGATGAGGAATTACGACAAACTCTCCACCCTTATCACTAACGGAAAGTCTTATGGTTTTCAACCTTATCAGCTCTCGTGCCTCCCGCATACCACGTTTTTGCACTAAAGTGCGGTTTGAGCTGGATCTTTTCGCGCGACAGTGATTAAGAACTTTGAGAGCTTCATTCGCAAACATCCGAAAATTAACATCAACTTCATTATTGGGCTCTTGTTGTCTAAAAAAGTCGGGGGAAATGGTGCCATTGGTAGGGCCCCCACTTAATGTTGTTCGCACCTACTTAGCGCTTCATCTCTAGCCTTTTTGCGGAGTCTATCTTGAAGTTCATGTAAACCACATGCGACCCTACGCAAGGTTATCTTAGAAATGGGTTCAGATGGTGAGAAAGTCGGCCCCAATTCTAATAACGAGCGCGCACCGTCAGGGAGAGTTATGCCTCCTAACACGGTTAGCCTTGAATTTTCTTGCACATTACCTATCCTAATCTGATCTGTTTGATGTTCTTTAGCGATATTTTTGTGCGCTATTAAAGCTGTATTATGTGATTTACTCAAAAGGTCTTCGAATTTTCTTCGCAAAGCTACTTTAGCATTAGACCTAATAGAGTTGCAAATCAACACTGACCCGCTCACTATACTCCTCCAAAGGTGGTCCTCCAAATATTTAGCACAAAAGTTTTCCTTCGTCTACGAAGCCGACAAAACCAGATGTTCGCCAAGTGGAAGAAGTGCGAGAAGAAGGAAAACTTTTCTGCTCAATATTTGGAGGACCGCCTCTGGAGGAGAATAGTGGGCGGGTCAGTGTTGATTTGCAACTCTATTAGGTCAAATGCCAAAGTAGCTTTAATAGCTTAGTAAAAATAGTAAAATAGTAAAAATATCTTGGTTCATTACCTCTCCTCTCACCCCTCTCACACGAAAAGGGCGCTTATAAGAAACATGTTTCGAACAGCAACCAACGTGTGCACGGGAAGAGAGCAGAGAGAGGAGTCCCGGAACTTGGCACGGCAAATAGCCGTTTCTAATGGCTACGAAACTGTAGCTCAGAATAGGTGTAGAGGAAATCGTAGGCCTCCAAACGACAACTCTAGCGATAGAAGGGTCCCGTTTATCCTACACTTCATCTCAAATGATATAAGTACAGCTATAAAACGCTGCTTAAGAAGGGCGGGCTTAGAGAATTCGGTGAGCGTAGTTGAAATACCGCCGAGTAATCTTAAGCGCCAGCTAGTTCGTAACCGCCTATATGACCGTCTATGTGCAACTCAAAATTGCATAATTTGCCCCAGTGGTAGAGACGGTGATTGCATGAGCTCGGGTATAGTTTATCTGATCTCCTGTAAGACGTGTGGTGACGAATACATTGGCGAAACGGGCAGACCCCTCTGTGTCCACATAAAAGAACACCTAGCTGGCAAACATAGACCAAATAACTCCCACGACCGACTTTCTATTAACCTCGGCATTGATCAAGTAATTCTTCGTATTTTTGTTGAGCAAACGCGAGG